AAAGAAACAGTGAATTATGAGGAAGTGCTTGAAAAATTCATGGAGTACATGGGAAGCAATATAACATACAACAAAGACATATACAGTGAGTTTAAGTACTACTGTGAACAGCATGAGATTGAAGTAATGAGGAAAGGAGACTTTGAAACGCTTATGAAAGACAGTGAGGAGGTCATACATGCAATAATGAAATAGTTCATGAGAACAGTGAGGAGGTCATACATGCAATAATGAAATAGTTCATGAGAACAGTGAGGAGGTCATACATGCAATAATGAAATAGTTCATGAGAACAGTGAGGAGGTCATACATGCAATAATGAAATAGTTCATGAGAACAGTGAGGAGGTCATACATGCAATAATGAAATAGTTCATGAGAACAGTGAGGAGGTCATACATGCAATAATGAAATAGTTCATGAGAACAGTGAGGAGGTCATACATGCAATAATGAAATAGTTCATGAGAACAGTGAGGAGGTCATACATGCAATAATGAAATAGTTCATGAGAACAGTGAGGAGGTCATAAACTTTGCCATGGTCTCTGTCCCTAGTAGTTTTCATTATCTCACAGAGTTAATGAAAGTCATACTTTCTATCAGATGAAGCATGCAGATGAACATAATGAAAGTTAGTGAGTTTGCCACGAGTTATGAATAAAATATTGGCATATTAGATGAGATAGCTGATGAAACAGATGAAGATAAATTAAATCTTGGACTTTGCCACACTCTGTCCCTAGTTCCTCAAAATCCTTGACAACGTTGCTTAGAAATTTTGGTTCAAAACCTCATCTGATTTTAATCTGTTATGCTACCTGTTAAGTTTCGCGAGATTATAAATGTCATGGAGTTATATAAAAAAGAGGGACAGCTAGGGACATTGGAAGTACTTGTAAGGCTATCTGTTAAGATTGCATGAAATACTAAAAAGTCATGAAATCCATTATCGCTGTGCTAGCTTCACCTTTGATTGAAATGACGACTAAAGTCACTGAAGCAATGAAACAAAAGTTTTTGGTAGAATACATTAAATCAGGAACAATTCCAGAAGGTTTTTACATTCATACTATGAAGGATGGTAGAGTTCAGTTTAGAAAGATAAAGCAACCATTAGATAGAGAAGGAATTTTGAGAAAGATTAAACTTCATGAGGACAACATTGCTAAACTTAGGAAGAAGTTAGAAGAGTTGGAGAAAGGAAGAGAGTTATAAAGCAATGAATTCAACAGGGTGAAAAAACAGGTGAAAAAAGAGGTGAGATCTCACCACTTCACCTAAATTTATTTTTGTGCTATGTTTTCATACATGTGAGGGTGGTGATATCATTAATTTTTAAGTTTATTTTGTATTTTTACTGAAAATTTTTATTTGGATGTAAATGACAGAACAAAAGCAACTCATTCGAATTCCACAGTATAACAAACATACATTTAAACATTTATTCTTCCTTCCTGAGCATAACATGTTCTTTCAAATACATCCGAGACCAGTTGACTTTTCATTGACTGTGTATAAAGATAGAAATAGTTATATCATTAAACCATACGATGACGAAGGTAAGTTATGTAAATTGTACGTTAAGAAGTTAGAGAAAGTTTATGGCTTCAATTATGACTACAATAGGGTTAACACTGATGATGAAGATATTGAGGAAAATTTATGAGAACATTAGTGAAGTCGTTAGTGAGAACGATAGTGAGAACGTTTATTTTTTACATTAGTGAGTTCGTTAGTGAGAACGTTTATTTTTTACATTAGTGAGTTCGTTAGTGAGAACGTTTATTTTTTACATTAGTGAGTTCGTTAGTGAGAACGTTTATTTTTTACATTAGTGAGTTCGTTAGTGAGAACGTTTATTTTTTACATTAGTGAGTTCGTTAGTGAGAACGTTTATTTTTTACATTAGTGAGTTCGTTAGTGAGAACGTTTATTTTTTACATTAGTGAGTTCGTTAGTGAGAACGTTTATTTTTTACATTAGTGAGTTCGTTAGTGAGAACGTTTATTTTTTACATTAGTGAGTTCGTTAGTGAGGTGAAGTGGGTGGTGGCTTTGTAAATATTTAAGGTTAAGTTAGTGTTGTCGTTTGTGTTGTAAAATATACGTTAACGGTTTCGTAAAGTGTCAAACCGTTATCTTGGGTAAGGTGGAACGCAGTGCCACCATAACCAAGATAACCATACTAACTGAATTACTCCTGCAACTTCAAGTATAGCGCAAGCTTGGTATAATTTGCATTTGATTGTTTTCTGTCGGTCATTCCATCTTGATAAGAATGTTGTTACATGTAATATATTTAAGAATTTTCTTTCCATAGCAATAAAGCAAACAAGAAGATCTTCGGTCATCTCAGTGAGTGAAATAAAACTAGTAATGGGAATATTTTGGGAAAGCGTGGTGTTTCTTTTAAAAAACCCAACGCTCGCGGCAAATCTGTAAAATTGCTGGTTTCACTTGATCTAGTCCAAGCCAAAGAAAATTATCATTATCAATTTTTGGTGCGCAACCAATAGTATCAAAAACGCTAAGGACATCCAAAAACCTTCGTTGTTTAAATCCCATTTGATCAGAAATTTCTTTGATGTTAAATGTATCTTGAAAATTTGTTTGGCAATTTTTTAAAAAATGCATTACTGATGTTTTGAAATCTGTTGAATCACCTGAATCGATATCTCCACCATCCTGCTGATTAAAGGAAGTGGAATGTTCCATAGATGAATTCTCAAAATTAAAATAATCGTAAATTTTTTTGAGAGAATAAGGTCAACTATTTGAATGTTATTGTATATGAAATTCTTAGCATAATATTGTAAAAAATATAATAAAAATCAAAAGTCTCATCACACTTTTCAATGCTCGATTTTTACAAACTGTTTAAAAATGGAGCTTATATTGAAATAGTGTAGAGACTAAAAATTACCACAGACTATTTCAGAGGATTGAGTTGCCACTCAATCCTCTGAAAAGTCTGAGGTAATTTGCAAAATTGAAATTGATATTGAATTTTTTGAAAATTAAATTAAGAAAGATGAAATTTTAAATTAGATTGCAAATGATGTAACTTATATGAAATATTTAAAAAGAAATTTGAAGAATTGATTTGTGAATAATTATTTCCAAAGCAAATATGAATGTTATTTAGGTCAGGTAAGTGGGGCTTCCAGGGGCTACACCCCTTCTAGCCCCTAAGAAATTTTGAACGATTTGCAAAGACAAATTGACAATTGCAATTTAAAGATTTTGAGAACCACCGAATTCATCTCCAATGCGGAGACCAAGGACGAGGCGGACCACTTCGTCGATGAACTTCTCTCTCTGCACGTTCAGAGAGATAGAATTTGGAACACATTCAAGAAATTAGAATAAAAAACTCATTTTTACTTATTTTTTTTGAAAAAAAGTTTTTTTAAATAAAATTAAATTTTTATTCTGAGTCAAAGTTCGGGTCTTCTGCGTTATATGCAACGTAATTGAACCATATCTTGTATGGATGGTTCAAATCCGATGAAACTGAAATGGTTTCACCGGGGACTAATACCAAGTTTCCTTCCCAGTAGTCTTGACTATAGATACAAGGTGATGTGAATTTTGCATCCCTGGGATGGACGATACACCCAAAGTGTCACCTTTTTGGGATAACAAAAATTTATATATATGAGAGTTCTGCAAATCATATGCACAATATCTATTCTGCCTGACTTCTTGTATATAGGAGTCAGGCCGAATAGATATTGTGCATGTGGCAATATAAGTATTTCCGAGATTGCCATCGTGCGCTATAGTACACTACTTCTCCTTGGTCCTAGCTCGGTTCCAAGGATATCGGTGTTCAAGGATTTGGCAAGGTCCTTCTGAAGTCTCTCATTCGATGAGAGATTTCGGAAGAACCTTGCCTTAGAGTATTCCAACTCTTGTTCTCTTGTCCCTGAATAGTCAGAAAAGCTATTTGACTACTTAAGGCAGAAATTATCGAGGTCCCTCATTTGATGAGAGGCCTCGGATAATCTCTGCCTTAAAGTTGTACACTTGTAGTCCATCAGAATGTAAGTATACACGGATAGGACAGCTTTCTTCTGAAGTCTTAGATTTGATGAGAAGCCTCAGAAGAAAACTGTCCTATTTTATAATAGGAGGAGTTTCAGAAGCTCCAGAGCTCCCTTTCGTAAGGAATAGGAGCTTTGGAGCTCCTGGTTCGAAGATGTGCTTCGCATCTTTCATCAGCATAGGATATTTATCAACTGGGACTCTGTTGATGAAGACTCAGGAGCTCCAAAGCTCCCTTTCGTAAGGATTAGGAGCTTTGGAGCTCCTGGTTCGTAGATGGGCTTCGCATCTTTCATCAAAAGAGGCCCAAATGGTAAATATCCTCTGCTGATGAGCTTCAGGAGCTCCAAGGCTCCCTCTCGTAACGATTAGGAGCTTTGTAGCTCCTGAAGGTAAGGTAGGATTGCTCTGATCTCTAATCAGTAGATGCCATGCCTCATTATGGATCTACTGACAAGAGATCAAGAGCTCCAAGGACTCCCTTTTTAGCTAGTGGCATTCTCACCATTTAGTAGGATCGCTGATCCTACTAATGAAGTGATCACTTAATATACGTTTTGAATAAATTGAATTTTTTTACAAAAATTTAGTATTTTTTATAAACATCACATATATATTATAAATACGTAAATATATTCTTTAATTCAATAAATTCAATTAGGTTTCGGGCTGGGTATCCCAGCCCCAAGTATTCAATTTTATTCAATTTTTTTAGAATTTTGGGTTGGGGTACCCAGACCAAAACAAACTTTATATTTTGATGTGTAGATGCGTATGTGTACATCATTATTGCGTTATATATTATATTTTTAATGAAAAAAATCTGATTCAAAAAAAATTATCACTAATTAGTTGATAATATAAAGAAAAAATATATAAATTGTATGTTTTGAGAGTATTTATCCACATTCACTCATATGAATTTCATTAAATAGTGTCTTTTTACTCCAAAATTTATTTTGAATTATTGAAATCAAAGAAAAAAAAACTAGAAAAATTCCTCAAAATTTTTATTTTTAAAAAAATTTTGGATTTTATATTAAAAACTGACACCGGGAGGACGATAGGGCTGGGATTAGAGATACCCCGCTCACTTGGGAAAAATACGGATCTATAGTCTTGACCATTGCTAAAGAATATGCAAACCAATTCTTCGAATACAATTTCTTGTCCACTTTTGCGTTGGAAAATGACTCTTACACGGTCACCTGGAATGACTCCATCTTTTTTGTTGTCTTCATTCTGTAACGAAATAGTACGAACGAGGAAATGGTTGACAATTTCAACTTGGAATTCGCAAGGAGTTGTGCAAAAAACCCAGGAGACATTTTCGGCTCCGTACTCGTCAGCTAGTTCATCCTGGTCATAGCTGTACGAGTACGGAGTGAAGTTTATGGCTGCACGGGCAAATTGAATTTGAATTGGGCTGCGTAAGGTAGGAAGCAACTGGTTGAAGAGTCGTTCTTGAAGTACTCTTACAAGAGTGGGACAATAGCGGACAAGTTCGTCTGCATATTGAATTGAATTCGAACAAATTTGTTCGAATTGGACTGTCGCCGAAACTAGTTGACCAAGAGCTGTAGAATACTCTGAGGTCTGTTCTATACTTTCTTCTATAGAAGAAGCCATGTATTCATCAGCTTTTGACTGCAATTGTTGGCGCAATTGGAAGTTAGATTGCTCGGGTCAAAGCGAGTCTTTGGAGTGTCATCTGGGACTGGGATGACCGTGGAGGATGACAATCCTCTTCCTGGATAGTTGAATCGGAATCGCTACTGTCTTGGTATGACATTGAGCTAAAATGAAGTGAAAAAAACCGACCACTTTATTTTTTCAAATAAGAGTTTTTAAAACAGTTTTTGTTTTGTCAACGTAACCCATCTATTTTTTTATTTTATTTAATAGTTACCGTTGGCAAACCGTTCCATCTCAAATATTGAATGAACTATAAAAGTTTTTTGTTTTCTATATATACTTTTTTGTCCAACGGTAAAACTTTTTACACAACGGTTTTTGAGAGTCGTCGCCGTTGACTTTTTTGTAGAGCACTCAAATAGTATAACTTTGTCCGGACAAGTAAGGGTCTATCGTCGCTACAGGAAAAGTTACAGCGTTCCAAGGAAGTATACTTTGAGAAGCCTTTTTCCCCTTATAGAATGAGATAGGACGGTTATTTTACAAAACTGACAACACTTTGACCGAGTAGTTTTTTGTGCTGAACAAAAAGTGTCATATAAACATCTGTCAAAAACCGCTTTTTAACTTCACTTAAAATGCCACGTAAGCTACGTAAGAATATACGTAAGAGGAAGGAGCATTGAAACATCCAATAGTAAAACTGACACCACAACAACAGTTGCAACAAAAATGATGAATGACCCCACTATGTTGCAACAAATGTCAAGCAACCCTATGCTTTTAAACCGAGTTATTGGTGCACAGAGTGGTGGTTTAAGAGCGGCACTTTTAGCGAAAATGGAGGCTATGGTGGAGCTGCAGACGGAACAGCTTATAACCCTCAAAGTCAAATGAATTTGAGTTCACTCAAAAATCAAATAACGGATGTCAAAAGTCAAACATAGACATACAGAAAAAATAAGTGAAAACGAAAGAAACTAGAATATGACAGACACACAAAGAAACTCAATGAGTTAAACGTAGAGAAAAAAAGAAAGAAAAGAACAACTGAAAGAACTAAGTACAGAGGAATATGCGAAAAAGTGTCAGAAAAGCAGCAGAAGTAGCAAAAATGGAACAAGATGTTATAAATTTGAAAAACCATACTACTCAATATAAAGTACTGAAAGATGAAGAGATAAAACAAAAAGCCCTGAAGACATATATGGATAGCGATGAGTATAAAAAAGAAGTTGAAGCAAATGTAAGGCAGAAAAACTTTTACAGTTGCAAAACCAAACCGTACAGTATGAAAACTTAGCACAAGAAAGTAAAAATAACGACGCAGCCATGCAAAAGGCAATGAAAAGTGCAGAATATATAAAAGCTAATAATGACTGGTTAGATGCCCAAGCCAACGCTAAAGCAGCCCAACTTATAGGGTCAATTAAGGACAAAAATACAAGCGGATGAAGACAGTTCAAATGAAGCTTTAATGAATGCTGACTTTAAGAATGCCTTCGAAGCTCTTCATAGTAAGGTGAAACTAGTGAACGACTTCTCATCTGGAAAGAAACTGAAGTCTGAAGGTTTCGACAAAGAGTTAAGAGAAGTAGCACAAAATATGACGAAAATAACAGATGCAGCAACGAGACAGGCAGTTCAAAGTGCCTATGACGCCGTTAGAGCAACTGTTGTGGAAAGTCAAGAAAAAGAGTTACAACAGACCAAAACAGACCTAGTAAATGCTTTCTTAAGAACGAAAAGTCAGGTAGGACATTATGCTGCAGATGGAACATATGTGCCAGCTGGTGGAACTTATATACCACCAAACCCTCCAAGAGAAGCACCTGCACCAGGACTACCTAAAACATTTACATCGTCACATGGACACAGACACAGGCATGCACCACCACAACAACCAACAGTTCAAAATCCAGCACCACAACAACAACCAAAACCAACAGTTCAAAATCCAGCACAACAACCACCTCCACAACCAGCACAGCAACCAACAGTTCAAAACCCTGCACAACAACAATCACAAACAGAGCAAGGACATAAAAGAAGTAGAGAAAAAGGAAACCAAGAATTCTTAAAAATGCTTAAGGAAGATTATGGTTACCCAGATACTCTTGACTTTAGTGACAGATATAAAGAAGCTATTAGAAAGTTCAAGGAAGGAAATACTGACCCGAACCTATTTAGCTTTATGGCTCAGCATCAAATCAGATATAATCTCAAACCTGGAAAATACAAGCTCGCTAAGGGATATGATTTAATAGCATATCATCCAAATGACATGAATGAATTTACTCCGAGATATTTGGTGTCAGAGCTAAATGATAATTCAACTCTCTTCATGAAACGCGTAAAAAATAGAGACGGAACGAAAGAAGAAAGGTTTATGAGTCCGGATGACTTAGATAGGGAACTTGTTAAAACGGTCTCGGAATATATGAAATGCCAGCAGATGAGGTACAAGAAACTCCACAGGAAAAGTTCAGATACAACCAGACATGGAAGAAATAGTTCAGCAACAACAGCTAGAAGAGCCTGAAGGAAACGAACAATCCCTCCTTGGAAACTAACTTCACAGAACTAGATGAAGATTTGGAACAGCCGAAAAATCTTGACCCTCAACAAGAGTATGAGGAGAATATGGAATCTTTCCAAGAGTCTAAGAAAAATTCGGCTGACATAGTAGAAGAATATCGAAAATGTTCACCGACATACAAAAGACTCCAACATCAGATGAAAATATTCAGCATAGAATGGAAGTACTGAAAGAAAATGTACGCAAATACAATAATCCTTTTTACTTACGACCATATAACGTTCAATCTTTGGCTGAACTCGGTGAAAATAAAAGGTTTAATTTCAACAAAACATATAGAAATGAAACATTGTTTAAAGTTCATTCAGAACCTAACCAATATGGAAACAAACCTACTTTTGTTTCTGCAGACTATGGAACTACAATGAGATGGGGTCATAAAGCTAATCCGGATAGGTGGTTCATAAACTTACAACCTCAATTCCAAGAAGTTGTAGACGCAATGGAAGTGAATGGTGAACCAGATATAACGGGTATTTTCAGCGCGGCTTTAATGCCATTGAAAGATATGAAAGATGCAGATATTTTGGACCAGTATGAAATGAACATGGCTGAAGGAAATATAACACCTGACGTTCTAGAACATTTATCTCAAAGAACTACACAGAACCATAGAGATGGTATATTTGGTGAAGAGTTTAGAAAGAAAGTTAGGGAGAGAGAAGGAAGAGAACCTATTGTACATGACCTTGCAAACGAAAGTTTGCAAAATGTCATAAAAACTTACTTTGCAGACAATGAACTGAGAAGGGATGAATATTTAAGAAAACTCAAATGGACAGTACCAAATGAAATGTTAGTATTGAAAAACATGTTCCTTGACAAAATAAAACCAACTACAGAAATAAATGACGCAAGACTGAAACGTTGGGTAAAAGCTTTCCCATTCACAAAAGATATTATTGGTTACATGGAAAGAAAACCAGAATGGCTACAAAAACATATATTTGGAAACGAGCTTATTCCATATGGACAAGCTCTGTTTGAAGAGCTTGAACCGGAAACTCAGGAAAGAGTCATGCAAACAATACGCGAAGACTCAAATACAAACTATGACAAAATCTTTCTAGGATATAGGTTACCTGAGATGGGCGACCAGAGCCCAAAGGCAAAAAGGACATGGGAAATTTACAACATACTAGTGAACATGAGGCAAAGATGCAACAACTTGAAGCAGAGGGCAAGTTACCAAAAGCGACACCAAAGAAGAAGAGAAGAGTAGAACAAAGTGAAAGTAGTGAAGAAGTAACTTCATCTAGTGAAAGTAGTGGCAATGAAGGAAAAAGAAGAGTTAAAGATTCAAAAAACTCAGTCAGGAAGAAAGTAAAGCTTGGTCGAGTGGGTTCTATTATGACATATAAATCCAACTATTCTATATTTTTACCCATATGAAATGTACGCCGCTCAGAATATAACGCCAACAGTTTTGGATGCCATGAACGGAAATGTTTCCGAATGGTATAACGAATGCGACAATGCCATTAGAAGGTCAGAAATAGTTCCTGGAACTTACGAATATACAACTGCTGTTTCTTATGGAAACGTAGGTGAGTTTGGAGAAGGTTCTTCAACAACAGTAGATATTGCTTGCGACAGGTTTCATATTATTTCTATTGACAACTCATTCTTATACGTGGAACAAGACATTGAAATAAAAACTTCTGCCAAGTTGTCTGACAAGAAAGGTTGCAATGGAATTTTCTATGTCGGATACCAATATGCTCCAGAAGTTTTCATGGGATATAAGATATATTCTAACTCTGACTTAGTTCAAACAGTAACATGGGCAAACTATGAATGGTTCGCTTTGAGAAACTCAGTACAACCACAAGCTAGAGAACAAACAGACCAGTATGCACCATTGAGAAAATAAGAAGACTTGACCCTAACGTTCCAGGAGTTTATGTTAACCTTTCTGGACAAACTGCAGCAGCAGTAACCAAAGTAAAACTGAAACTTAGAGTTCCTTTGTCATCTTTCCTCATCTTCAGGTTTTTAAGATACTTGCCAAACTGGGCAGGAAAAATTTCTATCGAACTTACTCCAAGCAAAAATAACTTAGTCATTGCACCAACACAAGACCCATTCACTATTACAGACGTAAAGGGAACAAATAAACATCATTCGCCGAATTTTGCAAAGACAAAGTTGACTTAGACTTTGGTTTCTCAAACCTCAACACTGAAGTAAACTATTATTTCAATGCTGCTGGAACTGCTTGGGACACAGTTAAGTTTACATGCGAACAGTTTGAATGCAAGAGAATAGAAAGCAGACTTGCCGTTTATATGTTGGACCCAGATATTTCAAATGCTTTAGCTGCCAAATATATTGCAGTTCCACTTATGTTCCCTATACACCAAATATCTGTCAAAGACTTTGCAGGTGAAGTTGG